AAAAACATCCCCTGACCGATGATTCACTCCCTGAGTGAACGCAATGACCGGTGCTGCACCAATCTGAAGCCAGGAACCCAGATCCTCTTCTGGGTCTCCCATGTGGGTGCAGGGTCCCAAGGCTATGGGCCGTGCTCAACTGCTTTCCCAGGCCACAGGCATGGAGCTGGATGGGAAGTGTTGCTCCCGGGATTAGAACCAGCCCCCACATGGGATCCCAGCACATTCAAGGCAAGGACTTTAGCTGCTAGGCCACAGCGCTGGGCCCTAATATAAAGTTTTTAACTGAGTAAGGATTTATTAAATATAACTTCAAATTGCAGAATATGGAATGCCAAACCATTCTGGGACAGCCTAGTCACAGAATTGCAGTAACTGCATTAAAAACTTTTGAAAGAATCCATGTCCTTGGCCAGTAGATGGCGATGTAACACTGTAGCAAGCAAGTCATAGCAGAAGGTAATGAATTTTATGATTGCTTAAAATCTAGCCTGTTCCCTGCAGCTTCCCATTCCCACATTCCTGCTTCCCTTATACTCCAGGCAACTAACTTACCCTCTGTTCACTCATCTGAAGGTGCTTCTAAGATATCTTGCTACCAATTCTCTAAGTGCTCAAAGAAAAGTATCTTTTGTATGTATTAGCTCAGGAATTTGCAGTACACAGCCTAAAATGAAATTCTGGGCTCCATTTACAAATTTGAGTTGCAATATAAGAAATAACAGAGAATTAAGATGAGCATAAGATCCTTCTGAACCAACACAGATCATTCAGTGATACAACCACGTGTTTTTTTTATCATGTACATGGCATTTTCTTCTCTACTCTCCCCAAACACCAGGACGAACTGCCAGGGAAAGAATCACTGGTCTTCGAACTTCATTGAATCTTGGCAATAGAAGGGATGCAGAGACTTACTTAAAAACCAGTTTGTTCTGTATATGGTTCCGCAGCATGCCAAAGAGATGGAGAGGCTCTCTCCCGCTACTGTGTCATAGATGGTTCCACAAATAAGGGTTCTCATTTACTAGGCAAAAGCTTGCTTTATTGTACAGACTTGGTGCGACATATTTAGGCAAGAATTTCCCCATCTACTTAGAAGCATTTTAATGTGTCTTCTGTATAAAAGAAGGGAGCATACTTGTGTCAATGTGTTTTTGAGTACCAGCTTATGCTAAGAACCATGCTCAACACTTTTATGTGTAATACTCTAACAGCTCAGAAAATCATTACTATTTTTCAAGTGAGCAAAGTTGAGATCTTCCTAAGTGAAAAGACAGCTGCTTAGGAAAGTCTGTGATTTTGAAGCCCATTTCTGTTTTCAGCACATCATTCCTGAATTCTAAGAGAGGTGAGTCAGCCCGTTCCTGAACACTGGTCTTCGTTTTGTCCAGTTCTGGGTGATCTTGAAACTCTATTCAGTCTAACCACGTCTTTTCATTTATAAAGGATCTTCAATAAGTTCATGGGAAGCACATAATTTAAAAAAGAATTTAATTTTTTTGTACCCAAATCATCTTGCACATATGTATTAGAACATGCCTGAAAAGGATCCAGCTTGAAATACTTAGAAATACTTATCTAAGACGATGAGACATCAGTTTGAAAAAAGTCCATATCAAAGCAATATGAATTCTGCAAAATTCATATTGAAGCAAGAACAAAGCATCTAATTTGTGCCAAAGTCAGAGTGAAATAATGTTGAAATAATTTGTGGTTTAGGGAAAGCTTGTTGGAGAAAAATGTGCCAAAGAAACTAGCATTTTAAAATTAGTTATTACTAGCAGCATGCTATTTAACATAATGGCACTGTAAATTTCTATTTTTCTTCCTCTTGTTGATTTTGTATTATGGCTTTTCATTAAGGGAGATGTATAGTAACTGTGTAATGGAGACTGTCATATCCAGATGTGAGGATACTTCCAGACAAAAAATGGACTTGCAATGAAACTGTTTACTCTATCTTGACAATAGGGCGCTGGACTCTCTGCCATTGTCCATGCCCGCAATGATGGACATATGACTGTGTATGAAGAACTATATGTTAGTAATGATATAGGTGAACTCAATGCGGGGCGAGGGACCTAAGGAGGGGAAAAGGGAAATCCCAGGGTCTATGGAATTGTATCATAAAATGATAATAATAAAAAGAAGTAAAATTTTTTAAAAAGATATTACTTTATCAATAAAGCTAATATTGAAAAACAGGAAGAAATTACTTATTGCGGCTCACCACAATGATGCAATGGCTAAAGTCCTCGCCTTGCATGTGCCAGCATCCCATATGGGCACCAGTTCATGTCCTGGCTGCTCCACTTCCCATTCAGCTCCCTGCATGTGACCTGGGAAAGCAGTCAAGAAGTGCCCATAACTGTGGGACCCTGTACCTGTGTGGGAGACCTAGAAGAAGCTCCCAGTTCCTGGCTTTGGATGGGCTCAGCTCTGGCCATTGTGGCCACTTAAGAAGTGAACCAGCAGACAGAAGATCTTTCTGTCCTCTCCTTCTCTCCATAAATCTGACTTTCCAATTAAAAGTTATAAAAATTTAAAAAGTGGTTATAAGGAGAGATAAAATAATACTGAAGATGAACCCTTAGAAGCATGCCATCCATATCAGTTTGTGAGAAAAGAATTCATATTGTTCATGCCATCATTGAGGAGGGAGCAGTAGAAGTAGCAATAGCTGGCATGATAGATGTCTAGGTTGGTCCTACTTATACAATTTGGACTAAAATGTCTAAGGTGGGTGCCAAAGCTGCTGTCCCAAATCAGCTGCTAACAAAAGCAAAGGTACTGAGAATTCGAGACAAGTGGGATTTAGGAGCTGAGAGATTTCTTTGAAGAATTATACCAGCTGAAGTGTGGCTGTAGTAGCAGGATGCTGAATAGAAAGCACAGTTAAAGCTGTGGCTAACGAGAGATGGTAGCGATCCATTAGAATCCAACATGGACCAGTCAAGAGCAAAAGTCATGGGCAGAGATATTTAGAATACTCAGCTCCTTTGTTTCTCAACTTTATTATTATTATTATTATTATTAATTATGTTGCATTATGTGACACAGTTTCATAGGCTCTGGGATTCCCCCAGCCCCTCTCTGTGCCCTCCACCCATGGTGGATTCCTCCACCTTGTTTAGTATTACAGACCAAATTAAGTCCAGTTTCTTTCTTTACAAACATATACCAAGCATGTTGTAAATTGTTGTTGATGTTGTGCTGGGGCTTTCAATTGATCGGGATGATATTCTGCCAGCTCTACCTTTAGACCAGAGATGATCTCCACAAGAAACTGTTGAATTTATCTGGACAATAAGATGCTGGACTCTGTGCTTCTCAACTTTTGATGATAAGGTAGCATCTGCTTAGTATGAGAGTATTTCAATAAAGTTAGGAAAAATACTAGCAGAAAAATAGCCGGGGCATCTTCATCAGGGCAGCAGTGCTACACATTCCTTTTATCAATCAAAGATGAGGAGAGTTTGAATCATTAGCATCTGCCTTACAGTCTTTATTTGATTCCCACTTTGTTTTTTTTCTGAAAGCATCTTTCAAGGGTACTTATCTGTCTTCAGTTACTAATAATGACATGGTTAGATTCTTACGGCCCTCAGCTATTTAGGGGTGAACTAATGTTTGGTATCATCACTTCTGAAAGTGTCTTGAACTTGCTCCTAAGAAAAAAAAATTATAGTTTTTGTTTGAAATTCCACATTCTATAACCTTTTTGGAATCATTTGTACTGTGCTTTCTGCTGAGATTATCCTTGGCCACTGCGTTTTGCCTCTTCTTGGAACACTCTTTCCCCTGTTATTTCAAGCAAGACAGGACCATGTTTCAGAGAAGTAATGGGGAAACCCAACCACACAGAGTATTAGAGAACAATTTAAAAATGACATGAGGTCAGTGTAGTATTTTATGCAGAAAAGTTGTGTGATCTCATTTTGTTTGAGATGCCTGTGACTGCTGTATTGAAGAGATGTAAGATGGCAGGGTAGGCAAGGTCCATTGAGAGGCTTGTCATGGGGTTATTACTATAATTCAAGGGAAAGATTAGAGTGTCTCAGAATAGCTGTGTGGCCATGAACATGACAAGTGGCTGGATCCTGAAGTTATGTATGTATGTAAATATTTAACTGTTACAGAAACTTTAAATACAAACAAAAATAGGCTGAAGAATATGGATTCTCATATTGTAAGATACTCAGTTCTCTCATGGGGAATAGAGAAAAATGTACTAGTCACTGAACTCAGGACATTACTCTGTCCTCTCCCAATCCTCCAAATGGTGTCTAGCAGGAGATGCCCACACACGGGGAAGGGGATGTGGAAGATGTCTGTCAATCTGTGTGAGGACATGGGAATGTCTATTTGGTATTTGGCTTTACTATTTCTAGGTTTTTGGGTTTACAGTCTTCCAATGGGTATATATCAGGAAATGCCCACACCCAGGGAAGGCGACGCGGAGCGTGTCTATCAGAATCTGTGTGAGTATATGAGAATATTTATTTTACGTTTGCTCTTATCATTTCTAGGTTTCATAGCTGTCATATGCTATTTGATAGTAATAGATGTTATTAAGAAAATTATGCAAAACCTAGATAACATTCTCAAAACTTCTCAGGCAATCCATGCCTTTGGTTTACCAGATGTTAAAAACAACACCAAAAATAATGGCAGTCTTTAATACCTGTGTCTCACAGTTTTGTTGTTATTTAGGCAAGAGTTTCTAATATGGCAGTGTGGCAGTGTGGGAACAGTGTTTTCCATTGCAGAATTTCTTTAGAGCACCCGTAAACATATATCATAAATAGTGACAAAGAAACTAAATTTGAATTAGCTTTTACTTCTTTGGCTTTTATAAGACTGAAAAACACATCACTGTTTATAAAGGGTTTAATCAGCCAGTAACTTTCTATTTCATGAGGAAAGAAAAAACAGTTTTGTTGCAGTGTAGATCCTTCATCCAATTTGTATTGCTGGCTCTGCTCGAAGAATGAGGCTTACTCCTTTTTGAAGTGCCTCTTGGCCTCCACACCTTCATATGTGTAAGTCTGAAAGGTGTTAAGAAACAGAAGAATTTGCCATTAACATGTAAGTGTCAAATTAAGAAAACAGTAGTATGAGTATAGCTTTAAGTTAATTTGTTCCTTGTTTTTCTTGCACTTGATAGCAACATTTTATGAAGAATATGAGATACCCATTTAAAATGGTTTGGTTTGTAGCCATTTTCATTCTTAGTTAAAATAGACGTTGATATGTTTGACATAATATAGTTTCTCTTTTCTAAATAGGTACTGGAAAATATATTCTTAAAATTGTTAAGTTTATAAGAAAGTGCGTAATTATTTGTTGAAGCTATAATTCAGTAATAACACAAATATTGTTGTCATTTTAAGCTTTGGACTATAATTATAATAATTATTTCCAACTTACCTGGACCAGTTCGCCACCTACAATTTCTCGGAAGGTATTCAGTTCTTTTCCATTGTCCAGCCGCTTGAATTTTCCAACCAATTTGTTTCCCTCAATGGTCCAGGCCCCCTAGATAACAATAATAACAGTAGCAATAATGAGCTATTTAATGGAGTCTTACGCTTAACAGGGACTATTCCTAAATCTATGCGGTTCAGTTCATTTTTCTCTTTAATCTTCACAATAACCTCTTGTAGATATCGTCTCTACTTTACAGATAAAGAAATCATAATATGGCATAATAATTCACCCAAAATGACAGAGCCAGAATTGAGCCCAGGTTGTGTTCTAGATTATGTGTTGGCAAATATATTCATCTACCTCTATATTCTCCATATGCTGAATTTTAAGGAAGGTAAACAATGATTTTTTTTTTGTAAGTCATTTATGTTAAGAGTGTGTTAAATTTAGTCGGGTTTTGAGTTGGTTTTATGGAAAGGATAAACACTGCTTGTTTAATATGTGACTGTAGCAGTAATTAAAGAATGGCATATGGGACCTGGCACAGTAGCCTAGCGCTTAAAGTCCTCGCCTTGCATGTGCCCAGGATCCCATAGGGGCACCAGGTTGGATCCCAGCATCTCTGCTTCCCATTCAGCTCCCTGCTTGTGACCTGGGAAAGGAGTTCAGGATGGCACAAAGCCTTGGGACCCTGTACCCACATGGGAAACCCAGAACAAGTTCCTGGCTCCTGGCTTCGGGTCAACTCAGCTCTGACTGTTGCAGCTGCTTGAAGAGTAAAACAATGGACAGAAGATCTTCCTTTCTGTCTTTCCTCCTCTCTGTATATCTGACTTTCAAATAAAAAATAAGAATATATCTCTGGAAAAAATGGATGGCATAATTGATAAGATACTCAGCAATTAAATTGTCCTTGGAAACTTATTTAGGAAAATTCTGAGACTAAAAAGGGGTTTTAAAAATCTGTTGAAAAAAATAAATTTCATTATGAATAGGTCTATACTTAGTCATTCACAGGGTATTTTTCTAACTCTTAGTGTGCAGTTCAAGTTCTTTATAGATTTGTATGAGGTCATAGATACTATATTTAAATACATTCTCCATTTGTGCAGTATATAATATGGAGAAAATTCATTTGTCCTTCCAGTAAATAGAGACCTGCATTAGTTAAACCACCAATTTTATAAAACAGAGATTATTTTAGTACGGACAGAAAAATCAAGAATATATTACTGATGAAAAATTTCTTACACTGAGTTCAGTCCCATCTGCTAAGGCGTAATTAAATGTGACACCAAGTTCAAAAACAATATCAATGTTTCGAAAAGTGCTTGATTCTTTGACTGTGAACTTGTTTCCATCTTGTTTAATTGTCACCTTCAGATTATCATGAGCTGCAAGCTTCCTTTTCACCACATTAATACCTTTAAAAGGAAACAGATTGGACAAAATAAAAGCAAACTGTCATGGAGAGTATTTATTGCTCTAATTTCTGTTTTATTTTATTTTGGGGGTTGCAAAGAAAACACAGTACCATTGCCTTTGCAGGAGAGCATCCATACTCCTTTTGTAGAGAAAGTTTATTCAGATTAAAAGAACTGATTTATTCTCTAAAGCTTAAGAAAAGTGAAACACAGAATTTTACTATACTGTAAATTGATAATATGTCATTGCAAAAATCAAAAATAAGAAAGGAGAAGAGACAATGAGAATGAAAGAGGGAAAAGAGATGGCATGGGAAATATTATGTTCTTAAAACTGTATGTCAGAGTACATGAAAGTTGTTCCCTTTGGATGAAAACATTGAATCATAAAAAAATAATTTTAGAGTCACAGTGTTGAATAATTTTAGAAAGAGAAACCTTTGTCATAGTATTAAGGAAATAAAAATGCAGAAATGTCAAATGAAGTGTTTAGATCACTCCTATATAACTTTACTTCCATGTATACAGTATTCTTTTTATTAGTGCCCCTTTGTTTTCCTTAATGGCTTGTAAATTTTGAGCTTAATAATTCTTTTTGCTGTTGTGGCATTTCTGATACAAAATGAGAACATTAGAAAATTGCACAGCCAAATTCATTATTGCAAGAATATATAAATTCTATAAATTTGGAATCACTAAAACTATAGGATGTAAGGAACTGACAGTTCTTTGCTTTTCTTATATAGTGTCCGAACTGTCAGAGTATTGGAATAGATTTATAAATCACTGAAATTCAACTCCTGAAGGAAATACATAGCTTCTTAAAATTACTCCCAGAGTTTTACAAGTCAGAAAAAAAGACCTGAACCTCATTATTTGGCATTGTGAATTTTGATAAAGCTTTTTTCTATTAATGTAGCAAATTATCTTTGCTTTTGCCACCTTCAGAATTTGATGCTTTAAAACCCGGAAATTATCTTTACATTGCGACTTTGTTTCTCAAAAAGCAGTATTAGTTTTCCATGATATTAGTAGACCGTGATGTAAGGAGAGATGGAGACACATCTTGCTCTTGTTCTCGTGTTTCCACTAGTGAGACAATCTATTCTTCCCTTACCTTCTGGATCTTCTCCACATCAGAAACAATCCTAAATCAGAAAAGGTGTGTGCAAAAATATGAAAAGCCACTGAAAATGAAAACCTTACCCATTTTTTCCATGAAGTTGTCATAGTTGTCACTCTGGTAGACTTTCCAAGTACCGTCGAACGCCATGGTCTCAGGTGAGTTAGTTTTGGGCAGTCAGAGGTCCAGAGCAATCCTCAGGAGAGAATTTATTCTGTTTCTTATCTTAGAGGCAGCTTCATAGTATGAGGTGGAAGTTTAAAGTTCAAAAGATCACCTGAGTACTCTGATGTGACTCAGTTCTAGCTCCTCTTTCTAAAATACCTTAGCTCTTCTGAAACTCAGCTGAATTAAAACATAGGCATATTTGCTCTGTCTTAAACTGCAACTCATGGACTTATTTATTTCAAGAATTAGAATGCAGGCTGTCTGAAGAGTTTTCCTACTTACATGTTCGAAGTGCACACTGTATTGTGGCTAGCATAATTTATAACACATATTGAATAATGCAGGATAATGTGAGTATTAATGACCTATTCTTTTTACACTATCTGGTACCTTGAAAACAAGACATTGTGACCAAATAAACTTGAAGAGTTCAAGTTGATATGATTGTTGAGACCGGAAATTAACCTCCTCATCTGCCATTTAATCTATGTTTGTAGTTGCTAGGAGTTTGGATAAATATTCTAGCATTGAGTGGGCAACCCTGCAGGTTGTGGATTTGATTTGAATGGTCTTGGTTAGTGAGTAAAATTTCAAGAGGTAGACAACATAAAAACTCTTACAGAAGAAATAATCAGCTTTACACATCTGCCATGTGCAAAGCACAGAAGCCAGATGTTAGCTATGCTGTTAACTAAAGACACTTGTTTGTTTTACTTTTAATCCCTCTAACAGCCACATCTGACAGAGCGACAGCACAACATAACAATCTTCAAAAGGTTCATGGAAATTCAGAAAAAAAAAAAAAAACACTGTGCATGGATTTCAACACTTTTTTTTTTGTACCAAGATAAACGTATCTTAGTCCCAGGAGTTTTCACAGATATCTTGGTATGTGTATGGGATGAGAGTACAGAGAGTGGCAAGAAAGATAAAAAGAGAAATTCATTGTATTCCTCGCTCTTCTCACTTCAGACTTGCAGCCTGGTGAGGCCTGAGCACAGATGAGTGAAAGTTCTAAGTTAGTATGAAGTATGGTGTTTTTTTTTTTTTTTTTTTTTTTTTTTCTGTTAGCTAGCTTTGAGATGTTAACTACTGGAAAGATGCTTTTGTTCTCTGGCAATGACCAGAAGGCATTAAAGTTCATTAGGCTTCAGGGTGAGATATGTGGAATAATTGGAGCAGAACATTAGGAATGCTGTACCATTTTCACATTTCCATTGTGTCCACTGGGCACTGGTGTTTCAGTGTTGGTGCCTATGGAGAGAGAGGGGAAACAAAGATCTTCCATCCACTGGCTCACTTGCAAGTGGCTGCAACAGCCGGAGCTGAGCAGATCCAAAGCCTGGACTCAGGAGCTCCTTCCAGGTCTCCCATGCAGGTACAGGGTCCCAAGGCTTTGGGCCATTCTCACTGCCTTCCCAGGCCACAAGCAGGGTGCTAGAAGGGAAGTAGAGCCGTTGGGATACCAACCGGCATCCATATGGGATCCTGGTCATGCAAGGTGAGGACTTTAGCCACTAGGCTACCTTGCTGGGCTCAAAGGAAAGCATTGGAATGGGAAGTCCTTTACATTCATAAATTTAGTTGTATCTTGGCAATGGATGATGTTGTCTTTTTTCTGTTGAAGATAATGAAAGCTCATCATTTTCAACTTGGGAGCAAGTAGGAATATTTATGATTACTCTATATCAAGGATTGAATTGTCTCACAGGTAATCCACTCCTTAGGGTGATCCATGGGTTTAGAATGCAATGGGTGATGAATTCAGATCTTCCTTTCCACATCAGGAAAAGAGTTATCTGGTCACTGAGAAGTGTGATACAACAAAAAGATGAGTTTTGAGACAAAGCAATTTGTGTTTCAGTACTGCTGCCAGAACAGTTGTCATGCAGAACCTTGGACAGATTATCCAATCTCTTTAACCCACAATTAATCCATATAAAATAAAGATAATAGTTGATGTGTAGCAATTTGTGAAAAAAATTGTATAGTAACTAACCTGAGCAACTGGCAGGTATCAGGTAATCAATCAATCAATAAACCTCAGCTTCTCTCCTTATTCTTTGATGAAGGAAATCCAACAGCAATAACAATATATTAGAAGTATCACAGGTTGGAGCTGACATTATGGTGTAACGAATAAAGTCACTGTTTGCCTTATGGGCATGCCACATAGGCATTGGTTTGTGTCCTGGCTGCTCTACTTTCCATCCTGACCCCTACTAATGGCCTGGGAAAAGCAGTGAAAGTTGGCTCAAGTGCTCAGATCCTTGCATCCATGTAGGAGACCAAGATAAAGCTCCTGGCTGCTGGCCTCAGTCTGACCCAGCACTGGCCATTGCAGCCATCTGGGGAATAAACCAGATGATAAGAGATCTCTTTCTCTCTCTCTCTCTGAAACTCTGACTTTCAAATCCCCAAACACTGTGTCACATAATGCAATGCAATTAATAAAAAAAAAAAATTTCAAAGAAATGTCACCAGGTCTCAAATCACTTTGATATTTGTGAAGAAAATCCACATGTTCCTCATTTTTATTACAAAACCACTAGGCTACTTAAATATTTTGTGATGTGCACTAGTGATCAACTTGTGACTGGATATGCCCTGGCTTTGCCTATAAAGGTTAACACCATGCTATAGCACTCTCTGAGAACATATCTTTCCATTTTATGACCTCACATCAACTTAAATAACTCACAAAAGCACGGTGCCACAATCAAGAAGAGGAGGAAGAAAATAGAATGATTTGTTGCTGGTGCTTGCCTAGCAGTACTTAACAAGCATGACCTCATCCTCTGTCTTATGGGAACTTTAATTTTCTCAGAAGGCACAAAAGAATCAGATGAAAGCAGGTAGCATTTGGATTCACACAAATGTGTCAATAGAATAGGCATGTTAAATGTTCAGTTTTCATTTGTCAATGGTCATGACTCCAACTAGGTCAGTGGGGAAACCCTGGTATCCATGTAATGTGGCATCATTCGATTTTTTTTAATGTTCTGATTGTATTTGTTCTCTTGTTTACCTATTTTGGAAGAATTAGAGAGAGAGATAGAGAGATTGATTCCCCCATCTGCTGATTCACTCCCCAGATGGGTACAGTGCTGAAGACAGGAGCCAAGAGCTTCATGTGGTTTTCCCTCTTTGATGGCAGAGGACACAGTGAGGCCACCTTCTACTGATCTTTCCATGCCATTAGCCAGGAGTTGGATAGGAAGTAGAACGGCCAGGAATGATCTGGATCCATATGGGAGGCTGGCATCACAGGCTACGGCTTTACCCACTACACCACAGTGTCAGTCCCAGTAGATCACTTTTTTAACTTTATACTTTTCCAACTCCTCAGTTCAGTAGCTCCTCAATTCCGTTCATTTATTTGGACTCCATCAAGAAAATGTTATACAGAAATTATGGAGCAGTTTCCTTAAAGACCTTTATGTTGGATCCCACATCACCCTGCTCCCAGGGAACATAAAAGCCATATTGTAAAACATGGCTTGCAAAGCCAGCATTATAGGCAGTCTCTTTGCAGTCCTTCCCATGTACTTCAAGATCTAGACATACTAAGCCTTTTTCAGTTCTTGGACTCCTGACTGTTTATGTTTAGTTTGTTTCAGTTCCTGGCATGGTCATAAATTTCTCCAAGAGAACTGCCTCAAGCTACCAGAAGTGAGTCAGGTAACCATCCTGTCTAGGGGTCATGACCTGAGGGCCTTGGTGTAGCTATAATAATAATAAACCCAACAGCTGAGTCACAATAACCAGGACAATACAAATGACATGAGTTCCCGTGCTAAAACTAGATTTTAAAAGCTCAGTTTCTAGGAATCAGAACTTCTTGTACCCAATTGTAAAGCTAACTGCATTTCTTTCCAGGGTATTACTTTTTGTGTAATTAGTGAGCAACAGCAGTTGCTCACCAGGCTTTCTTTTCGGAATCTATGGATCCTCTGTTCTTTTTTATCATAAAGTTGTTTAACATATGGCTAAAAAATATGGCTACATAAGAGGACTTGAGGGGCAAAGGACAGCTGGGGGATCTTAATGTTAGTGCCAAATCTCTAGCAGTGAATGTAGAGTAAGGAGGAATTCTCAAGTGCACCAATAGTTTGCTTCATTCTCTTCTGATGATCAGTTTCTAAATTTTAGAAATAGTTAATTTCTAAACCTGTTTAATAATGTTTAAATATTATTTCTGAGATGACTGGTTTTCTTCCAAAAAGATTCTGGGTACAGCAGTGCACAGGAATATCCTGGTGTGACCTGCCGATTCTCATGAGTAATTCAACAGCCATGTATTAGAGGATTCATGCATGCTAGTTGGATGCAAAAAGGACTTATCATTCCTTTTTTTTTTTTTTTTTGTAGTGTACGTATTTTAAGAATGATGAGACCCCTTTGAAAGCACTGTGGATGGGAGATTGCTTGTCTCCTGTGCTCCTTCTGTTATAGATAAAGGTGGATTTGTATGATCACAGCTCTTCACTGTTACATCCAAGCCTTTGTTTCTGGTTTTTTTTTTTTTAATAAAATAAATGGAATCTTTTCCTTTGAGACCACTTGCTTTGGTTGTATCATCTTCCAGCCTACTTTGTCATGGTTGTCTACCATCTAACCCAATCTAGCATTCTTATCTGTCATTCACCCCCATTGGATGATTTTATCTGCCATCCATCACTGAAAATTTTGTTACTCAGCTCACTTTTATGCTGTGTCCTGCCATCCAGAGTGATGTCCAAGTCCATGTGGATAAGCCATCTGCCACTAGAAGTTCCTCACTCCACCTACATCTTACAACCTTTACTTCTGTTGGCTTCATCCACTTGCATCCAAGGCTATGTCCACTGATTTGTCACCATCTGTACTGCTCCTTCTATGATACTCTCTAATTATGACTTTTCATATTCTTGCATAACATCAGTTCTTGGTTTTCAGATAATTCAGTCAGTTCTAGTATCTACTTCTCTCAAACTAGAGGC